AATTTTGGGCACAGTCTCTCAGTTTCGTTGCGGATGGTGAAAGATCCGCAGAAAAATCTAGGAATACGACATCACCCTTTGGCAACACATATAACACGGATGAAAAAGGGTTTTTCCTGGGCGTCATCGATGGATTCAAAAGAGCATTAGTCTTTAAACTCAAAGAGCAAGACAGGCTGCCTATCGTATTGCAAAGCGGTAAGCAATCCTGGATTAAAGTCCTGCCTTACCTCTGTTAGGCCATGACGTCGCCGCCCCATTCCTCACGTACGAAGACAAACCAGGTCGGCTCTAAGGTAACTAGTTCATATAGGCCAACACATAGAAGGAATCAGACTGATCTTTGGCATCATAAATGGAGCGGGCAGAGCATAGGCTAAAGACGGGAGGTTCCTTGTTGGTTAACGTAACGTAACCCCAAGAGGTCGAAAAAGTCTCGATTCTCTCCTTCCATTAGAAATTTTAAGTCTTTGTGTTAATATAGACTTCCTGTAGGGATATGACAAGCACCATATTGTCATTGCAGTGTTTGCCCGTTTCCAAAATCGGTTGCGGCTCTTGGACCTTTTCCCATGGTCGGCCCGTTTCATCTCATATGCAAATCCATCTGTAGGTGGATTACAACAGCCAAGGCCTTATTAGCCTTCTCAAATAAGATTTCCGGGCTCATTTAGCAACGATTTTGAAGTTTCCTTCTCTCTAGCAACGTTGGGACTAGGTGGGAATCACCTGAGGAGAGAGGGCAGAAATGGGCAGGTGTGCCCCAAAAAGCCTCCAATTTAAAGACAAGTTGCTTGAGAGGCGACCCGAAGACAATGTAAGATATTCAGTTATGAGAACCAGAGCAGAGAGCACTGAAGTGTTCGGAAAGATCATCTCTCTGCCCAACAGATCAGCCTCGGCACACTGGTGAAGCTATGCGTAGGCCGCTCAACTCCGTCAGAAGAAAAGCTGTGATAGACAACCAAGTCAATAAACAGTCTCCGTAGAAGGAGATTCATAGTGTTAGGAGACAGGAAAACGTTGCGAATGCCAAAAATTCTTGCTGTAGAGAGGAGGAGACAAGTGCAGGCGAAAATGGAGAGACTACGGCGGATAATGGAGGCTAGGTGTTATAAATGGAAGACATATTAGTAGACACAATAAGAGCTATAAGTTAATACTCAGAAAATGTTACAGGAAACGATGCGCAAATGACGGGTGGCTTCTGACACCTCTGAGAA